TGTAAGCTTCGGGAAGGGGTGGCGGGGGTGAGGAGAAGGAAGTGGAGCTGTACATATGTTATAGGCATTAAAGAGGAAGGGGCTGAAGAGAAGATGTCCCAAAGCAGGGAGACAGGTGGCTGGGCCTGGGGCAACAGGAGAGCCCCCACATAAGGTTGGACTGTAAACTGTCCTCCGAGGGGGTGGACGTGTGTGGCTCCCGTCCCAGCCTGGCTGCCTGGCCACAAACCAGCTGACTCTGGAGAAGGCATCCAGTCTTGAACAGGACTGAAATGACCCTTGGGTCTCTCTGGAGCAGGGGAAGTGATTTTCCTGGGGGCTGGGTTGAGATAGGCAGAGTTGAAAGGATAGGAAGCTGTTTTGGGAGGAGTTGTTCCCTTGGAGACATAGGAAAGGGGTTAAGGGTTCACCTGGGCAGGTTCAAAGCCAACAGATATAGGAGCTAGCTACCCTGGTCCTTCCCATACTTGAAGCCCCCACTTGCCAGGCTCCTACCTGCTCTGTGCTTTAGCCCAACGGACCCCAATAGCTGTGTCCCCAAACCCTTCAGGACACAGCCTGGCTCAGAGTGTGGCTGCTTGCTCATGGCACTGCATTTGCACATAGGTCATGCACATATACATGCAGGGTTTGTCCAGGGATGGCCACATGCAGAGAGGTCTTCCTGCTGTGCCTCATGTGTCTTTTATAAACCAGCAAGTGCAAACCTCTGCCTTTTCCATTTTACAAGGAAAAGACTGAGGCCCAGGGAAGAACAAGGTCTCACTCAAGGTCACCCAGCCGTATCAGACTGCCCAGTCTTGCCACTTCTTTTCCTTTGTCTTATGAGGCTGGAGGGGCCAGAACTGTTGCCTTCATGTCTTGGTTCATAAATGGGCATAGTGGACTCTGGACATGACCTGGCTTCAGTGCCCAAGGGTTCCAGGTGGCATCTCTTCTCCATCCATCACATGGCCATGGTCCCAGTGGGACCATGTAAGGGTCAGTCTCTAGACCATAAAGCCTGGAGTGAAGGCTGACCAGTTGGTCCCCCCTTCCCTAGCCCCTCAGCTGAGGGAGTGGCTGGGTTTTATAGAGGTGCTGACATGCATGGAATGCTGAGCTCTCAGCCTTCAGGACAGCTGTCTGTCTGCCCAGCCCAGCAGTGCTGTGCCAGCTGCTATATTGGCCTCCTCTAGATTTTGAACACCCGGCCCACATTAATGGGTCACCCCAGAGCACAGAGGCCTTGTTCCTGTCTAGGGTCTACTGAAGTTACCTGGAGGAAAAGAATAAGCTTCAGGTCTCTCTGATTCTATCTTTGAGGTGTGTGCCTAGGCAGCCATTTGGGGCTTTGTCTGTGTGCAGCACAGGAATTGTGATTGGCAGCTGTCACCAAGCATGAGTACCTCGGGACACCCCAACCTCTTAACGTGCTAGAAGTTCATGCAAAGGCTTGCTATTTCTAGCATGGAGTTCTTATGTCCCCAAGAACTTCTGCTGGCAATTGCACAGGGCTGAGGGGCTCAGGGCAGGCCAGCCCTCTAGTAAGAAGTGTGTGGTCGGCTCCATACATTGCTGGATTCTCCCCCTGGGAAGCCACTGGTTACCTTCTGGAGCTGGGTGCTGGAGCAAGACTGGGTTTCAACTCTGGACTCCCTGCTGTTATCTCACCCCCAGATTGTCTGGCAAATGACATTCACTGCATGTGGCCAGAGGAGACAGCCACAGGCCAGGTTTTTCTATGGACCCAGGAACTTTCACTTATCTAGGTAAATATTCCCTACCAAAAAATTTTTTGCTCTAAATTTTGTTTGTTTGTTTGTTATTTGAGACAGGGTTTCTCTGTAGCTTTGGAGCCTGTCCTGGAACTTGCTGGTAGACCAGGCTGGCCTTGACCTCACTGAGATCCACCTGCCTCTGCTTCCCAAGTGCTGGGTTTAAAGGCGTGCACCACCACCACCTAGCTTAACTCTAGTTTTAATATAGCACCCAAACTTCTAGATGGAATTTGGATTGAAAAGGCTATTCCAAAAACCCTTTCAATCATTCACATTTTGACCTCAAAAACCCTAACTAACCAAGAAGGCCTAATCAAATTTTGTATCCCTAGATTAGAAGATACAGGGTGATGGTAGAGAAGTTGGTGAGGATGCCCATGGGTTCCTTGGGCAGGAGATCTTCTCCTGGATTTTCAAGTCCACTTGGATGCCCCTGTGTTTTGCTGCTGTGTCCAAACCAACCAATGGGCAAGCTGTGATGTCCCAGGAGCAACAAAGCTGCAGTACCAATGTCCCCTGGCTACCAATAGCCTGGGTGTCCAGCTCCTCGGCTTTTTATTTATGGAATGCCAGTAGCAGCTCACTTCCAGCCACACTGGGGTTTCAAACCCTGTCCTTGCTTAGATTTGGGTACAAAGGAACCCCCCTTTCTTGTGGAATCTCAGACCACAGTAGCTGGAGGAGTCTTTACCTAGCCACAGGCCTTGAGCTTCATGTGTAGGCTTCACAGAAAAGCCAGTGTTCCTGGATGAGAACTCAGAAGTCTGTGTGGCAGTCTGGCCCAGGGAATTCTTGCCTTCTTGTCACAAAGCAGTCTGAAGTCCCCTTCTTGAGCAGCCTGCAGTGGGTGGAGGGGGTGGGTAATGACTCAAGAATGTCCGTCCTTCAGCTTTGAGATGAACCTCAGAGGGAGTCCCAGCCTCAAGTCAGAAAGGCCATTCCCAGACAAATAAAGTTACAGGTTCTTGGGGGGAGCTTCCCAGAAAAAGAAGCCCCAGAGGAGCATGTTGGGGGTCTCAACATGTGGGGGAAAGTGATGGGGCAGGGCCTTGAGGAGTCGGACGAGAGGCCTGGAGTCACCGGCTTCAGGCCCCAGAAGCTTGGTAGGTGGAATTGAGAACAAGAATACAGTAGCTCCCTGTACACTGGCTACATGGACAGATAATTTATGGGACTCAGTGCAAAATGTCCCCATTCAGAAAGCAGGACAAGACTTTCTCCTCAGTGTAACACTCCCAGCACACCATGACATTTTTATCACTTGTTTAATGCTATACTTCTTTGGTTCAGGGCACTTGAAAGTTTAGTATCTACCCTCACAGGTGTGAGGGAACCCACTGAGGATTGAGGGCAGCAGCTACTACTGTGTAGAGGAAGAACGGGCTTGGGGGAGTTGCTCTTTGAATCTGTTTCTGTCTCTCCAAAATCCTCAGCCCATTGTGGACCAGCTAGTTATGTCATGGCTTCCATAGAGTCTTGGATCTGGAAACTCCAAAGAGTCAGGTGTAGGGACATGAAGGCATAGTTAAAGCAGGGATCCAGGGTCTAGAGGTTCATACACTGGTGGAAGCCATAAAGTCTGTCATCCAGGTGGCCAGGCTATGGCCTGTGTGCTGCCAGGCCAAGGGAAGATGTTGGGTGGTTGTGTCAGTTGGCTGTGGGGTCCCTCCCAAGGGAAACTGTTAGTCACCCTGGCACTGGGGCGTGTGGGAGCCAGAAGTGCCAGGACAGTTTGGGTCTGCTCCAGGTTGTGCAGGGCCTGGTAGTCAGCCAGAATGTAGGAGAGCAGTGGCAGCGGCTTCCAGAATAAGAGAGGTCTGATCTGTGTCTGCCAGTGAGATCCTGTGCACACATGCATTCATGTGTGTGTGCTTTACGGCAGGCCATAGAACATCCGTGCTTCGACTCACTGGCCCCAGGGGGCAGTGTGGGCCTGGGTAAGGGTCAGCGAGGTCAGGGTGCCGAAGAGCAGAAACCGAATACCCTGAGGTCAGCTGCTACAGCACATGGGGAAAGTGAGACCTGATCCCCTGACCCCCATCAGGGTCCAAGATGGAAGAGCCAGCTAGCAGCTTTGAAGAACCAGGCAGAAGGAGAGGGTGTGTGGCAGGGAGCACTGCAATCTATATTTGTCCCAGCTTTGATGTGTGGCCTTAGACAGGTCACCCCACTTCCCAGCCTCAGTTACTCATCTAAAGTAGAGATAGTGAAGATGCTTGTTACCTAACACAAGCCTTACAAGGCTGGGTGTTTGTCGTTTCTACTGGTTGCTTTATTTCTGGACTCTGGTGGTCAGACACAGTACTTCCCCAGGGTACAGCGTTTAGCAGCCCAAAGAGGCAGCTGAAGAAGCTCAACATCCAACACAGAAGGAGGGAGAGAGGAAGGAGAGAGGGGCATAGATGAAATGGCTCAGCCATCCTGTGAGATGTTTCAGTGACATATGCCCTCTGAAGTTGCCTGTTTTCCAGGATGGAGTGTCCTGGAGAGCAGACACCCTATCATCCAAAGTCTGCTGGAATTCACAGGTAGGACTGAAGCTGTGCACCCTTCAGCTCCAGCTCAGCAGGACCAGAGCCCTGGAGTCCAGCTTGTTTGCCAGTAGCTGCCCAGCTGGTATGGAGTCCAGCCAAACGGACACCAAACATCTGCAGAATACCCCATGCTTACCCTCCACCTGATCCTGCTAGGCATCTGGTCAGCAGGCTGTAGCCACCTCTTCCTCTCCCGAAGCTATTGGTTGGCTGATCTCTGGATGCCCCTCAAGTTCCTCAATTTCTCAGGTCTGTTTTCCTAGGATGGAGGGTGACCTGGACATACACAACCTCCAGATCTCAGTGTCTCCCTGTGAACAGGAGTTGGCAGCCTGGACACCACATGGTTCCCAGCCTCCTATAGAAGCTGAAGTTAGATGGGTGGGGCAGGGGGCTCTGCTCCACCACTGCCAACCTCCTTCCACGTGACCTTAGGCTATTTGCTCCATTAGGGTCAGTTACTCTGGATCCAGGCAAGCCAGTCTCAGGCTCACTCACTGCTTCTGGACCGTGGCGGCAGCAGCCAGCAGGCAGCTGGACAGCCTGGCCATGCTCCAGAGGCGCAGAGCGGGTTAAAGTGTGCGCCCGGCCAGCCGCCAGCAGGCTGGGCGGGGGAGCAGCGGTGGGAAGTGTGAGTTCCTCCCCGTCTGCCTGACAGCTATAAAGGCAGCTGCGGCCACAGAGCAGCCACTGGGCTGAGCGCCCCTCCTGGGAACCCCCTCCCTTGAATGCTCTTTGAAGTGTGAGAGGGAGGCAGCTGGGGAAACAGGACAAGAGACAGGCAGAGCCCGCACATCTCTGCCCTCATCTTCCTGCACGGTGCACCTGGCAGCTAGCTCTCACCCCTTTCTCTGAGAGGACAACCTGCTGACCCTGGGTGAGGTAGGCCACCACATACTTGTCCCAGCTCGTATTGTGGTCTCTGGGAGGTGTGAGATGTAGTCCACTCCAGGGCAGACAGCTGTTCAGAATGGGGCTGGGGGATATCCTAGCCCCTGGAGAGGGTGTTCAACCACAGAGGAAGGGGGAGCAACCTGCACCACACAGTGGCAGGGTGACCCTGAGGCTACAGCCTTGGTACTAGCAGTTGCTGTCTGATCTGCAAACCCCTGCTGTGGGCCTAGTGAAGGTTTTGGACCCTAGGGAGAGATGGATCCTGTTTGAGCTGGACTTGGCTGGAATCCAGCAGTGTCTGGGAGCCTTAATGAAAACCAAGTGTGAGGCTGACTGGGCACCTGTCTTTGGCGGGCGGCAGGGACTGGGAACCGTGGAGGCCAATGGGACTATGTGGGATGGGGTTCTGTACTAAAGCAAAAATGGGGATGGGGACGGAGACCAGCAGGGGAGGAGCAGACAGATGGGGTAGGGGAGCTGGTGGGCAGCTGGTGGGATGGAGGGGTCTCAAGGATGAAACTTCGTGTTTCAGGAACTACAGTGTCATTGCATAGTCTGTCTGGGTGCATCTGAGTGTAAGGGTGTCGCTGGCTTAGCTCCCACACACCTGCAGGTGCTTGGGGAGGGAAAGATGAAGGGAGAGAGAGGACAGAGGGAGGGAGAAAAGGAGGACGAGAGGGAGGGAGGGAGGCAGGCAGGCAGAGACAGAGTACAGTTGGTGTCAGTGTTTTGAGGGTGCAGACAATCTCCAGACTTTCTTTCCCTGGAGTTATTGGGTGCTGGACTGGGCCCCTAAGCTTGCTCTGAGGTGTGGGGGCAGTAGGCTGCCTTGCTGTGTGACTATAGGCAAGTTAACTTTTCTCTCTGGGCTTGATGTTTTCTGAAACCTATTGTCTAACTCACTGGCTGATGACCTCCACCTGAGGAAATTCTAGCTAGAGGCCGTTAGCTCCCCTTCTAAGACAAGGTTTATGCTGAGGCTCAAGGGAGCAGTTCTGAGAGTTGGGGCAGCAGGGTTGGAAGCTCTCCTTCATTTGAGTCACCTTAACCCTTGGTGGGCGTCTGGGCTTTAGGTGCTAGCTTGTTGGGAAGGAGTCAGGAAGACAGGCCCTGGCCCATTTACACCCAGGCACAAGCTGGGCCTCCTTCTGCACCTCCCCCACACCCATGTTCTCTCAAGAGAGAAGGGACTAGACTCCTGGACTGAGCCCCACCTCAGAACCAGATTGCTGAATACCCATCCATGAGGATGCTCCTTTGACAAGGGAAGGCTGCCTTTTCCTGAGGACCATGGGCAGGGAACCAGTAAAGGCAGGAAGGAAAGGAAGGACACCTCTTGTGCTGTTCATGAACTTGGCGGGGTGTTCATTCTCTCAGGTGGCCTGCAGTGTTAAGCAGGTAAAACTCCCAAGGTGCTCTGGACAAGGCAGTGGGCTGAGCCCAGTTTCTATCCCTCTTCATTATGACATTTCTACCAGGCTGGGCCTCCAACCTCTTCAGCCTCCACGGCCGTTCTTCAGGGGCAAAGCTTGGCAAGAGACCTCAGATGAAGGGTGGCTCAGACTTGGCACTCATACCATCCCTTTGTGCCTAAGCCGGGCAGACATCTGTAATCACTTACCAAGCTGCTGGCTGAGCCCAGATGGATGGCTCAGTCTCTCTCAGATGGCAGCCACTACCATAGGATCTCAGATAACCTTACCATCTGGGCCCTGGGAGAACCCTGAGAGTTCATCTCCAAAGCAGGGCCTGAGCTGGTAGTATTGGTGGTCTTGCTTTGTAGGATGGATGGCAGATGGCAACATTCACACTGGGCTTGGTCTTTGCTGGCCATGGCAGTCGTGGCTGGGGGTACAGCATCTACCGAGGCCTTGGTGAGTAGCATTGTCAACTGCTCCCCTGCCCCCCCTCCCCCGAGCTTCTCAGCCAGGTGTCGAGCTCACTCTCAAGTGGGAAGATTATGTCGTAGGATAGGCACATGACCAGGGGTCTTGGTGTTCCCTTAGGCTCCAGAAACTTGTTCAGAGAGCCAGGTAGACTAGCCCCTGAAATGGGACTCTGGCCATCCTGGAGTCCCTGACCAGCTAGCCAGAGAGTGAGGTGTGTCTGGTATTTCTCTTTATAACAAAGGCCTAGAGCAAAGCATATGGGTGGGAGGTATGTATGGGGTGAGCCTGCAGAGGGAGGTGTAGTGTGGGCTGCAAGGGAGAAAGCAAGGTAGGTTAAGATATGCTTCAGGTACTCGCCAAATCCCAAGAGGCTCAGCCCTTAAGATGGGGACACATGTGGTCACCAATGGAATTCCTTCCAGGCCATCTGAGAGACTTGAACTCAGGTTTCAGCCATCAGCCCTTTTAGGAGGATGCATCATCTTTTCCCCTCAGCTGCCAGTGGTGTCCTGTGGTGTTTGGGGTATAGGTTCTCATGTGTTGTGGTTGAGCCTTCTGCTCACTATTGGGGGACTTTTCACCCAGGACAACAGCCCCACATCTAACAGCCTGGAGGGGGGTGCCGACGCCACTGCCTACTGGTGGGGGGAGTGGACCAAGTGGACAGCATGCTCCCGAAGCTGTGGGGGTGGAGTGACATCCCAGGAACGCCACTGTCTACAACAGAGGTGAGTTTGTTGAAACCCCCAAGGGTGGGTGGGCAGGAGCAGCCTGGATCATACCTGGTGGCCTCTTTTCTGGGCTTGCATTTGATGTATGCAGGCTCCTCTTCCCATTGGCCTCCATTAGACATGGAGCTTCAGAGAGATCCTTGGCAACAGCGTTCTGGGGTGCCAGAGAGGGAGTGGCGGAAAGCAAGGTCTGTCTTTTAAAGGCTCTGCCACTGAGGAGTGAGACAGACACCCTTGTCTCCTGAAGCATGAGCTACAGAAGCAGGGAAGAGCATAGGCAAGGTATTAAGAGTCTGCTCTCAGAGGGACCTGGGTTTGAGTCTTGCCTCTGCTACTTTTAAGTTATGTGACCTTGGACAGGGCACTTAATCTCTGAGCATCAGTTTCCTCATATGTGTCATCATGTGGAGAGCATGATAAGCCAGTTCATGTTCCTAGGCACACATGACACCACATGTGTTTGCGTGTTAGCATGGGCCTCAGCAAACATGGTTGCTACTCATCAATTCTGTACAATACAACTCTGGTGCTGGGAACATAGAGGGGAATCAGATGCCATCCTGGGAGTTTGGGAAGCTACTTGAAGCTAGTACATGGCAGAACAGGTGTCAGGACCCATAGATGCCACTCCAACCCTGGCTTGGTACCACATTTTCCCACCAGGAGGAAGTCTGTTCCAGGAGCAGGGAATAGGACCTGTGTGGGCACGTCCAAACGGTACCAGCTCTGCAGAGTGCAGGTGAGGCCAGCTGCCTGCAGCCCTGAGGTCTTGGTCTTGCCCCTACAGTCATCCTGTTGCTGACACTATCCTTTCAGGGAGAGTCCAGCGTAGGCTGGCTGATGCACAGGCTCACACCAAGTCCTTCACACATCAAATGCTGCGTGTTCCATCCCCTGCATGTTGGGTGTGGGAGGATCGCTTGGACTCCCACCTGTTCCTGGAACTCTAAGTGTGGCTTTAGAAGCTGGGGTCTCTTTATTCTTGCTGGGCAGCCACCCTAGGCCTCTCGGCACCTCTTAGGTGCGCCTGTGTATACTGTTTCGTTAGCCTTGGCTGGACACCAAGGTGGCAGAGGCTTGGGAGGAGGCATTGATTCTGCCCGGGGTTCAGAGGAGTACTCCCTATGAAACCTATCCAAGAGCCACCAGAGTGTGGTGGTGGAGGTTCCAGCTCTGCCAGGCTTACTCGGCTTGCCCAGCTGAGCTGTTGGAAGTCTGTCTTTGTGAGTGCACATGTGGGGTGTGAGAACTGAATGGAAGTTAGTGGCCACAGCTAGTCACGGAGTCAGGATTTGGTGGATATTTGCGAACTCCTGAAGGAGACAGACACTAACCTAGTCTGGACTCCAGCTGTAGCATGGACAGCTGCCCCCTATACCCTCGAACTTCTTCTTATAGATTTCCCTCTTTCTAATTCAGTCCCTATGTGTAGCTATCAAGTGCACTGGATTCATTGTAGGCACTTTGTACACACATGTGTACACATGTGGAGATGTACACATGATGACAAAGTCTAACAGAGGACGGGGGTGTGAGCAGAGCCACCAGTGTCCCAATATTCCACCACATAGCTAAGAAGGTCAGGGTGTTATCCGGAGTGTTAGGAAGGCTGATACCCAGTGGCATTGGAAGAATAATCGCTGCCCCTTCTGAGTAGTTGAAAGTGAGTGGGGGTATAGTGAGACCAGGATCAGGGGGCCACATGGACTATGGCCTTCAAGGGTCATCTGGTTGTAGCCACTTCCTGCTCAGCTCCTCCTGGAGCTTGTTCACCTTCTTCTTTCAGGAGTGTCCACCGGATGGGAGGAGCTTCCGTGAAGAGCAGTGTGTCTCTTTCAACTCCCGAGTGTATGATGGCCGGGCATACCAATGGAAGCCTCTCTACCCGGGTACCTGAGCCTCAGGAATAAGCTCTATGGGTGGGCATGTGGGGAAACTAAGGCTTAGAGCCAGGTCTTGTTGAAGGCTGTGATGGTCATCTACAGAGCTCGGAGCTGATCCCACTCCTCTAGATGAGGGCCTGGAGGTCTGTCCCCTCCCTCCCCCATGACCCATGACATCACCAGTGACACATTATGGAGCTGAGTTTCCTGAAGGGCTGCCCTCTGAGGTCAGGACTCTCCCGCTGTCCCCAGAGCTTAGACAGGAACCAGCCTAGACAATCCCAAATGGGGACTGGCCAAGGTATCACGGGACTGGGGGCATTCTTGCTGCTTCTCGCCCACCCTTGTCCCTCCCTCTCCCCACAGGAGAGGAAACAAATTGTTTAGGCACAGTGTAAATGAGCTATTCCCCCACCCTATGGAAATGCTGAGGTATGCAGTCCCTCTGCCACGGGAAACCCTTTTGTGGATCTCAGGTGAGATGCCCTTTCACAAGGAGGCCGAATTTGGAACTCAGAGCTTAGACTAGGCACACTTCATTTCTGCTACCAACACTTTGTCAGGTCCCTTCTTTTCAAAAGCATCAGTTTCCCCATTTATGTAGTGGAAAAGGTGCTATCTCAGTAGGAGTGGGTGAATTCAGCACCATCTCCCCTGAGACTCTGTGCCTCATCCCCCAGATGACTACGTCCACATCTCCAGTAAGCCATGCGATCTGCACTGCACCACTGTGGATGGCCAGCGGCAGCTCATGGTGCCCGCCCGCGATGGCACTTCCTGCAAGCTCACCGACCTCCGAGGGGTTTGCGTGTCTGGAAAATGTGAGGTTGTTAAACATTGTACCAAAAGTATAGCCATTCTCACTGTGCTGGCCACCCTGCCTGTCAAGGCAGTGGCGCCCCTGCGCCAGCCACAGCGCCTCAGCAGCCTCTCTCCTTGCTTTTGCAGCCCATTGGCTGTGATGGGGTGCTCTTCTCCACCCACACACTGGACAAGTGCGGTGTCTGCCAGGGGGACGGGAGCAGCTGCACCCATGTGACAGGCAACTACCGAAAGGGCAACAATCATCTTGGTAAGGGCGGGTGTGGCAGCCTGGGTGGGCATATCCCCGCCTTCTGCCTTCCAGGTAGGTGTCCAGGACCAGCTACTTCCTCTCATGGGTTCTCTTGTTCTCCACCAAGGCCCAGGCAAAGGGGTAAGGCTCCTTCATACTGGTAATTGAAAGGGGCCCTTCACATTGTCTGCACACCAGAGGACACTTAGTCTGGGATCACATTTGACCTTTGAGGCAGCCTTTGGGGAGGACTGAATGGGGAAACTGAGGCATGAATGTTGGAGTGTGTGAGGCTTGGCTCTGGATGTGCTGGGTGCTGGGCTAATCCTGAGACGCCCCTCTCTAGTGCTGTGTTTAATGACCTTGGGTTTGCATCAGGCCTGACCCTCGTGTTTGGGATCTGTACATGAGCCAGACCTTCATACGTCACTTGTGATGGCTGGTGCTCAACCAAATGCATCGCTGTGTCTCAGGAGCATGTGTGGAGTCAAACTAAGTTATTATAGAGGAAGGGAGGGCAACTTGAAATCCACCTAGCAGATGGGGGAAACCGAGGCCCACTGTGGGAACTAAATGCTCAAGTTCTCCCAGTGAGGCAAGGGAGTCCTACTGAGACCACCAGAGGGCCCAGGAAGCCAAGAAGGCTTGCTTGCCCCCACACGAGAGGTGATCACAGAATTAGTGAGGACTCCAAGAGTCCCTGCAGGAGGCCACCAGGAATGAAGCACCGATATATAGGGCCTAGGGAGGATCGACAAAGGAGGGATGGGCACAACACCTGCTTGTGTGTAGAGGGTTGAATCTGTACACCGTGTCTCTCTAGTATGATGGGCAGAGACTCTTTGTTTGGAGGCCTGCTAAAGATGGGGTGTGGCAAAGCTGGACTGTTTGCTTGCCTCTCCCTTCCTTCCACACACATGCCTACACAAATTTCTGCTGAACTCAAGGCAGAGATGAAGTCAGGGGTCAGAGGTCAGAAGTCAGGCGGTGCCTCTCTTTTAGAACACTCTGCTCATGTCAGATGCCACGTGCTATATCGAGGCCCACCAGACAGGACCCCATGCTCTTGGTGGAGCTCCTTCTGGGGAAGCTGAGGCTGAAGTGAGAATAATGCCTCTAATTCTGCTGAGTGTTTCCCAACAGGCACAGAGCCAGGTCTGGTCAGCATTAACTTATCCACATCTGGGGATTTTGCTATAAGGCAATTGCTGCTACTGTTGCCCAAAGCTGCAGAGAGAGCAAAGGGTTAAGGTGACCTGATCTTTTAAGGCCCTGGGTCTCAGCCTGGGCAGCTGGGCTCTGGGTCCTAGCTGCAGAACTGCATGTCTGTCCTGAAATATCTGTGCTCCCTAACCGTGTTCAAGACCAGGCCCTATCGTGAAGCTCATGGGAGTCAAGTGCTAACTGCTCAGGAGTCTTGTGAACCACTTGCTAATTTAAAAATTAAAGCCAGCCTGTAGGGAGTTCATCGGAGGGCTCCGGTCCTCACCCGGTGGCTCCTTCAGACTCCCATCCCCTCTGGAGGCTTGCATGGTTGGGGGAGGGCGACTGATTCACCCATGCCCTTCAGGGCTACTGGCATGTTGCCAGTTGCAGGCCTGTTGGTCATAAATGAAAGCCGTGTGTGGTGGTGCATGCTTGTAATCCCAGCACTCACAAAGCAGAAGCAGGGGGATCACTGCAAGTTTGAGGCTTCCTTGATCTACATAGCAAATTCTAGGCCAGCCAGGGTCACATAGAGAGACCTTGTCTCAGTAAAGTGACCGTTTCCCAGTTCTTAAACCTCAATTGATATTTTGTCTTATGGCCATACTGTTATGAAATTCTTTCCTGCTTTCTGCCCAGAGACACCACATGGACTGTTTGCTCTCAGTCAGTTGCAGTGTGACAGTGTGCACCACATAAATAGCTCAATTGCTACAAACCAGAGCCCTTCACCCCTGCTTCTCAAGGAGCCCAATGTGAGACACTGTCAGGGCAGGCTCTTCAAGGACCTGCAAGGTGAGGGTGGGGTCAGGGACAAGGCAGGAACATCTGGCCCTCAGTAGCTTGAGTGTGGATTCTGCAGCCTTCTACAGGGAACTCAGAACAGGAACACCAATTGTACCAAACCCTCTCCTTCTTAGACCCCTCTCTTCTCCCAGATGGCTCTGTTCTTATTTACTCTTTTCTGCCGGGGCCCTCTCTAGTAGTAGCTGGTAACTGTTTGTTCCCTGTCCTGACTCCTGCTCCCTGTTGGGTTTGGAATTGTCTGTGGCTATCTCCCCACTATACCGCAGTTGGGATGATGGAATCTGAAATGGCTGGCAATGCCACTCATAGTCCAGACATGTAGACAGTAGCCCTTACAGGGTGGTCAGCTTATCTTTGAAGAGTCAGTATCCACTCTGTGTGGATGCATCAACAAGATACTCTGATAAGATGGGATTTGACAATAACCACGTTTCGACATAGAGCTGGTGTTGATGTCTCTGGACTAGATGAGAAAACAGAGGCTCAAGGTCTCTCAAGTGATAGAGCAGGACATGACATAAGCATATGTAAAGTCCCTGTAGTCCATTGTGTCCTTTATGGGGGGCTGGGGCAGGCCAATGGTCTTGATGGGAAAGGGAGTACCTGGGCAAGGGCCGTGGAGGATGGTCAGCCTCCTGGACGACATGAGCAGTTCAATAGGACTAGATAAGATCACACACCTATGGCTGAGACAGCCTCTAGGCAAGTGCCCCTTACCTATCCAGAGCTCAGAGATGGCTCAGAGTGACATCAGGAGTGGCTTTGCAGGGGACAAATGGCAGCTCCCTGTTGCATCCTGCCTTCCTTGGCTTTGCTCACAAGTGTTCCTATTCTCCAGGTTATTCTTTGGTGACCCATATCCCAGCCGGTGCCCGAGACATCCAGATTGTAGAGAGGAAGAAGTCAGCAGATGTATTGGGTACGTAGGTGGACCTGGGGAGGGGGATATGTATGTGTAGATAAGGGCACCTGAACTTTGATCTCTATTTTGAGAAGTGGGACAAGTTAGGTGACAGGGCACAGCTGCAGAAGCCAGAGATGCAGCCAACTGATGCAGTTGGCTATTGAGGATGGGTGGGGGGGTGCTGACTTCACCCCCTGCATGGAAGGTCCTTGTCCTTAGAGGTGCTGGACAAGAGACAGGTTTGACATGAGGTAGTGGTCTCCTTATCATTAGAGAACCTGGTCTAGGCAGAATCCAGGGAGCCAGAGGTAGGGTCTATTCAAGGAGTGAGCCACAGAGCTGAGTCCAAGGCCAGTCCAAGTCCAAGTCACATGGCCAGTCCAAGGTTTTGATCGCAGGTCTATCTGTGATGCCATGGTGACCATGCCCAGCTTCCCATGGGAGGTGGCACTCTAGAGTGGAAATGATTACCTTGAACACCCCGGAGATACTGCAGTAGTAAGGCCCCATCTTGATGATAGTCTTTGGATGGGTAATGTGTGAAACTGGAGAGTTGACATGACCTGGTGGCTGAAGCTCCATATGGGCAGGTACTAGTACCTATGAGCCATTCTGCCCTTGGCTCTGCCCTGTGTGGGACAGACACGGGACCCAAGGCAGGTCAAGGAGCAGTTCTCCAAACTGAACTCAGTCTTAACACCATGTCGCTTCGCCCACCTGCCTTCCCATCCCACACCTCAGGGAGTTGAGCATGACTGAGCTCTACCGCAGGCATGTAGAAAAGGGGAGGGTGTATAGTAAAGACCCTCAGTTTGAGCCCAGCACCAGGATCTCCTGTCCCCTGCCAAGCTCCCAGATCATTTGAAGGCCCAACCCCAGCAAGTTTGCACATGGCTGGCCCCATGCCTACACTGCTGGGGACATCTGTGGGTTGAGCATGGAGAGCCGGGCCTCCAGCCAGGCCGGTGGCTCTGCTGTCTGCTAGCTCACTAGGGCTGCAGGGAGGCCGGGAGACGTCGTGTTCTCTGAGCTGGCTGCAAAGCTCTCATTCTTGAAGCAGACATTGGAAATACCAAGGGCTGGGAAAGCCGCAGGAAGGAAGGTCCTCGCTGTCAGGAAACAGGTTTTGGATGTGGGCCTTGAGCTGAACCCTGGGCGCAGATCTGGAAGCTGAGCCGGGACAACCAGGCCCCAGCCGGGCTTGGACTTGATGCTATGTTCTGACGTTACTACGTTGAGGGTATTTTTCAGACACGTCCTGCTTGTTGCGTCTGTCTGATAATAAATTAATTGCCCCGGCTCCTCTGTGAGGATTGCATCAGGGCCTTTGGAAACGGCACTCACTCCTCTGGCGGGCCAGTTCCTGGAACCAGCTTTAAGGACACCCTCTAGAAGACAGAATGTCCCCCAGTGCTGAGACTGCCTCCCCAGCTCTGGAGGCTGAGGACCTTTACTTAGTCCCAATAACTTCTGGAAAGGCCAGATTCCAGGCTGGTGTTGGGTCCCTAGGCAGCTGGGAAATGGGCTGTCGGGGTGCCATGGGTATATTCCTTTCCAGTCTTGGTTTTCTATTGCCAGGTCCTGAAAGTATCCAGTTATACCTTCCCAAGGGAAATGGTGATAGAGGTGTCCAGGCTCTGCTCCAGCTTGATTGGGTCTCCACTAGATGTTAAGCCCAGCAAGATGGACAGATTAACTGGGTAACAGTGAAGTCAGACGACATAATGCCATTGTTTCTAATAAGAAAGGCAGGGGGTGGTCCCAGGAAGGAAAAGCCTTCACGACAGCACTCCACACCAGCTAGGCCAGGCTCAGTGTCACTTACTGTGGGCTCTGGATGAGGCACTGAGGCCCCTTCCTCAGCTGGGTGAACTGGAATTGGTATCGCAACCAGGGTCACAGCCAGTCTGTTCTGTCTAGTCTAGTATCTGGCTGGTACCTGTTGTTCACGGCTATAGACCCTCCTGGTCCAGACTGGCCCTTGGCTATGGCACTAGCTCATTACCTTGCAATCCCCTTGGCCCATCTGAAGCAGTCAGAAGGGCAGGGCCAGCCTTCCCTGTTGGCTCTTCCAACCACCCAGACTGGCCTGTGGTTGTTTGTTTTAGACTGATAGGAAAGTGTGTTTGTGTCTCTTAGGCCCTTACTGGCCAGGGCCACATGCTGGCCCCAGGCACAGTGTCTGTCTGATTCCCTGTGACATTGAATTTCCTGTCTTTGGGTCATTTTGGAGAGGAAAGGCAAGGCTGGCCACCATTCTTGGAACCTGTATGCTGGCTCCTCCCTGTGTCTCTCTCCTTTCTGCTCAGCCTGGCTAGCCCGTAAGATTCAGTGATTTTTACTCTTTTAGCTCTTGCAGATGAAGCTGGCTTCTACTTCTTCAATGGCAATTACAAGGTGGACAGCCCCAAGAACTTCAACATTGCTGGTACAGTGGTCAAGTACCGCCGGCCCATGGATGTCTATGAGACTGGCATAGAGTACATTGTGGCACAGGGACCCACCAACCAGGGCCTGAATGTCATGGTGCGTGTGCCACAGTCTTAAGGTCCAGTAAGGGTTGTGGGTACTGGCTTCCCAGAATCCAGCTACAGATTGGGGTTTGGGGGCCCTGAATGCACAGAAGTATTGTTGTAGCCTGGGGTGGTGGTGGTCGATGGGGGGGGGCTTGTTCATTTACGCACCTACTCACTGGTCACTTTCTCATTCATCTGTGCACTCAGATTTTAGCTCATTTACTTCATTTCCCATTGATTCATTAATTCACCTATCCATTCACTTGCTTCTCTCATTGGTTCATTCATTCATTCACTCATTCCATCAGTTCTGTGTCAGCCCATTCTGTAATCATTGGGAACCTCATGGGAAGTGAAGGACAGGTGGCTGGACCCTCTTCCCATGTTTCAGTTGGGTCTTTATGTCCCTTAGGTCCATGCTGCCTCCAATAGTCCTGCAGGGCTTTAGTTGCTTGGGGCCTCCCCTGGTTTAGCCATTGTAGCTTCTCACCCCAGATCCATGTATACTCAGGGCCATCACGATAAGCAGTTATGACATTCTTTGAGACCTTCAAGTTGTCTTCTGAACTTTTGATCCCACCACAGTGGGCTCTCCAGTCTCACATTGTGGGTACAGAACCTGGAAGGGTTTGTGTAGTCACTCACCT